GGGAGTGGCCCCCTCCCCGGGTGCCCGGTGCGTGAGTGGCCCCGCCCCCAGGCGCCCGGGAGCCCATAAAGGCTGGGGACCACTGATATATATTAACCAAGGGTTGTATTTGATTTTTGATTTTGTTGTTTTTAAGTAGCATGGAGAATCTGTCTCTCTTGTGATGTCTGTGGGAACTAAGTTTTGGGTGGGAGCAGGATGGGAGTGGCCCCCTCCCCGGGTGCCCGGTGCGTGAGTGGCCCCGCCCCCAGGCGCCCGGGAGCCCATAAAGGCTGGGGACCACTGATATATATTAACCAAGGGTTGTATTTGATTTTTGATTTTGTTGTTTTTAAGTAGCATGGAGAATCTGTCTCTCTTGTGATGTCTGTGGGAACTAAGTTTTGGGTGGGAGCAGGATAAAAATGCAAGAAACAACGTGGGGGTGGGTTTTGCAGGGTGGGATGGCAGCAGGATTAAAGAATTACTATGACACAGGGCCCTAGCTCATTCTTCAGTGCAGTGGTCCCCAAAATCATGGGGTGCACCCCGAGGGGCATGCGGAGGAATGTTCTGGGACGGCAGCGGGGCCTGGGCCAGCCCCCGTGGAGGGTGGGAATGGAATGCAACCAGCCCCACTCTGCCCCCAGCTCTACTCTGGCTTTTGCCCCAGACCTGGCCCTGACTCCCAGCTCCAGCTGCAGTTCTGCTCCTGGCCCTTGCCCTGGGCCCCAGCTTCAGGTCCGTCCCTGGCCCAGCCTTGATAGCTGCTTGTTCCCGGTTCCACTCCTGGACCTGTCCCTGCCCCCAGACCTGCCCTCAGCTGTGGCCCCAGCCTCAGCCCCTGGATCCTGGCCCAGCCACACCGCTGTACTTGTCCATGACCCCAGCTACCAGTCCTGGCTGCGTCTCCAACCACAGCCCCCAATTCAGCCCCTGGCCCCAAACCATGGCCCAGCCATAGTGCCGCTCCTGGCCTCAGCCTCTGCACTTGTCCTGGGTCTCTTCAGCCCCACTTTTGGGTCCCGGCTGTGGCTCTGATCCCAGCCACGGCCCCTGCTGCAGCTCCTGTCTCTGCCTTAGCCCCAGGCCACAACTGAGTTTCTTTAATTTGTCAAATCTGATCAGGTGACTCTAGGGCATCCCTAGCCTGCTCGGAGAAAAGCTATTGCTTGACATTGCGTGTGCAGTGGAGCTTTCTGAGTTATAGACGTGAAGGGTCAGTGTTTGGGGATTCTCTTTGCAGAACTTGCTTAAGGCTGCCAGTGTCACTCAAAAGCAGCTGAGCTTGGTGAAGCTCCATGAACAGTCCAAGAAGAACTTAGAAGAAGAAATTCAGAACTATAAGGACGAAGCTCAGAAGCAGAGGAAAATCATCTATCAGCTGGAAAAAGAGAGAGACCGTTATATCAATGAAGCTAGTGAACTCACCCAGAAGGTAAGAGATAATTGGTGTACACGCATGATTCATCTGTCTCTCCCTCTCCTTTGGAAAGAGCCTATTCAGTTCCTGATATTCTGGACTGAGCTGATAGGTAGGGTTGATCAATAGTCTGCAGAGAATTTATAAAGCTTGTGGGTTTTAGGCAGCTCATTGCACTCAGAACTGTCTTGTACAATTGTACACCATTCCAGGCTAGTAGCTTTTTCTCTCCCCTATCCTCCATGTATTTAAAAATAATTTTGGCCACATGCATCCTTTGCTAGATTTTTCTGATTTTTACCAACTGCTCTTTGGCTCTGCAGTCTTGCCGTTGCCCCGCAGGGTGATCTGTACAAACTGATCATAGCTTCCAGGGTCAGAAGAGAACACTGTGGCTATGTCTAAACTACATCCCTCTTTTGAAAGAGGGATGTAAATTAGGCAGATCGAAAGTGCAAATGAAGCAGGGATTTAAATATCCTGCGCTTCATTTGCATAATCATGTCACAGCGTTCTTTCGAAAAAGGGTATTTCAAAAGTGAAAACACTGTCTAGATGCGGTTCTTTTGGAAAAAACAACACCCTTTTTTGAAAGATCCTGTACTCATTTTTTGAGTACAGGATCTTTCAAAAAAGGGGTTTCTTTTTTTTTGAAAGAACTGCGTCTAGTCAGGTTGTTTTTTCCAAAAGAACCGCATCTAGACAGTGTTTTCACTTTTGAAATACCCTTTTTCGAAAGAACGCTGTGATGTGATTATGCAAATGAAGCACGGGATATTTAAATCCCCACTTCATTTGCACGTTCGATCTGCCTAATTTCCATGCCTCTTTCGAAAGAGGGATATAGTTTAGACATGCCCTGTGATTGTTCAGGTTACTCTCCTATAAAACACACACCATCAAACTTCCCCAAAATAATTCCTATAGCAGATATTTAGTAAAATACATTGAATTGCATTTGTTAGTGATGGAGAATCCACCATGATCCTAGGTAAATGGTTAATTACTTTCCGGCTACTATCTCCAGGAACATAAGTTCAAATCAGAGTTGCTCCTTTATCAAAATCCATCTTTTCCCTGCATAAGTCTCTTCTCTTTCTCAGTGTAAGAGACATGTTAATGTGTTTCTGCTCCGTCTGGGAGGCCCAGTGAATGTGTCTACAGTGATATTCAAGGCCAGGTATGCAAGGTATACAGTGATATGCCAGCCAAGGCCACTGGGGTCTGAGGATATGTCTACTCAGCAAGCCTCCCCACCAAAAAAACCCCCTCTCAGGCCTGCCCTTTCATAGAGCAAATCTCAGCTCAGGCCAATAGACTTGGGTGTGTGGAGGACCTCTGAGGCCTGGCTCCAGCCCAAGACTCAGCATCTACACTATCTTTAGCCCTGCAGACACACTCCACAATCCCAAAGCAGATCGTCTGGGCTCTGCAACTTGCTGCGACGGGTCTTTTTTTTTTTCTGAGCAGCTGTCCCGTAAGTGTGCCACATTGCTTTTCTCCCAACCTCCCTGAGAAATACTCAAACCTAGGTCTCCTGCTTCTTACCTCTAAGCCACAGAGATGTCCCTTTTGCATTAATTTATGTCTCTCGGCGCTATTTACGCTGCAGAGCTGATCCTTCAAGCTGCTGAGTGCCCTCGCATGCCACAGAGAGCAGTGGGAGTTGAGGATGCTCAGCACAGTGCAAGAAGAGCTCAGACCTCACAGGACTGGGATCTGTAAAATTCTCTGTGACCTCTGAGCACACTCATTCAATCTGGTCTGCGGTACGTGGGCTACAGGGAGAATCTCTGCATCAGCGTTGTACTGCAGCCATTGCCTACTCTTATGTTTCACTTTATTTCACGTGGTGTGCTCAGGAACATGCTGTTGACGTGATCCATTAATTGCTGAAGATCACATTGGAGAGCTCTTGAGAAGTCATTGATTTACTGGGAGGCTAGCCTTCAAGCTGTTTCAACCCACAAGTCATTTGCTACCTTCACACTTTATAATTACCTCTTACAAATTCATGTGATCAGTGGCTTCTAAATCATCTTTGAGTGGTACGTTCCCTCTTGTCTGGCTTATGGTGTATCATTCCTTTGGAGTAATACTCCATTTAAATGAGCGTTCTCTTTGTTCCAAAGTCACATTTTCCATTCCCTCCCTTCCCTCCTCCCCCCGCATCTGATCATATAGACTCATAGATTCTCCTATATCTATGAGCTAGGGTCATTATAAAGCAAGGTCAAACTGTAAATCACAGAAATCAGAACAGCATGTATCTTGCTGTAGAACCACACATTTCTGATGAGGGTTGTGCAATTTTTTTTTTTGTATCTAGGGTGAAAAGGACGGATGCCTGAGGGTTTTCTGACTTTGCCACTTTGGGGGCAAAATTTTGGGCATTTAACCCAACAGTTCCATAACCCTTTGCCCTACCACTGGGGCACCTGGTACAATCTGGTGCGAGATGAAGTTCTTGTGGGTCGAGGCTGCTCCACACGCGCCCATTGAAATGCTCTCAGTGCCTCATAGACACCGGAAGGTGTGATCAGAGGACTGCTGGACCGACAGCTGCAGAGCCTCAGGAAGTGTAGGTTGTGACTCTAGTGCTGTTTGTGTAGGGGGACCTGTGTTGTGTTTACCCATTTACAGGGGATTTTTATGCTTATTTTATTCACCAAGGGGCAAACCCAGGCTCACCGTGCAGCTGCAGGGGTCCTATGTCACACGAGGACTGATGCCAGTTCAGTAGGCAAAGCAGAGCAGGCTGCTGGGACCAGCACAGAGCTCCACATCCTATCCCTGCACTCAGCTGCTCTTTCCTTTATGAGGGAAGGGCTGAGGATGGGCAGGTGTCTATGCAGATCTCTCTGCTAGTCACATTCCCCCTTGCACCTGGGGGGCGATGGCAGCCCGTAAGCTGCCATAGAGGAACCGTATGCCAATGTGGGGGAAGAGTCTCTTCCCAGAGGCTCTCCCCCATGGAAAGCCATGGCTCTGTCATCCAGTCTGCCCCAGGGAGCACATGATATACCCGGTGACACAGCTGCTGTGCTTTTGAGGGACTCTAGGAATGCGTGTCTGCTGCCCAGTGTCTCCAGAGCTCCTGCTGGGGCCGGCCTTGTCACAGTGACCCTAACACAGGCCTGTAAGTTCAAGGCAGGACAGCCCTTAGAGCTCCAATACTCCTATTTCAGGCAACTGATGACTAGCCAGAGGTTTAAAGTTACACCAGAATGGCAAGGGATCTGATCGTGAGAAGCTGTGCTAGCTTCACCCTTCTGTACATTGTGCCCGATTCTCTGCTCTCCTACACCACTTGTACATTGATGTAACTCCACTGCTGTCCGTGGTGTGACCCTGTTTTACGCCAGTGTAAGAGGAAAATCTTTCCAATGTGCTCTGTATTAACTCCTGACAAGTATTCGTGGGGGATTTCTCTCTTCAGAAAGGAGGCTGTTTTCACCAGAAGCTTCGAGTTGGTGGTAAAATCTCTGTTGCCACTTGCAGCTTTAGACTATGTTTAGGCACACACATGCACATGCATACACTCTCTCTCATGCAAACATACACACACACACACACACACGCACATGTGCGTGCACACAAAGAGAATCCATTGGCTAGCAAACAGATGAGTAAATGCATCAGTCTCAACTGTCATTGTTCCCTGTCCCTGGTTAATGAGAGGTTATAAAGCAGTGTTATAGCTTTAAGAGCCCATTACAAAGTTAATGTCATACCCAAGAAAATCCAGAAACCTATTTCTTTTTCAATACGCTTCATCCATTGACAGCCTAATGCTATACCGGGAGGACATTTAAGACCCAGGCAGGACTTCTCAAGATCTCATTGTCGTTAAATAAAATGAAGCAAATAAGCGAAGATCCAATATCGAGTCCTTGAGCAGGTTCACTGAACTAAATGGCCAGAAAGTATGTAATAGCCAAATATACACATGGGAGGTCAAAGGCTACCGTGGACAGCTGCCTAGGAATAACGGCTGATTTTCCTTTCTAAGCTGTGGCCACACTGTGCCCCTCCACCAGTGCAAAATGCCCTACTAATGAATCCTGTGCCACCTGTGCAGGGGGCATGGCGGAGGCAGAAAAGGTGTGGCCAAGATTCTGACGCCTTGCTGATCCTGGGAGAAGGCTGTTGGCAGGCAGTGAAATGTAGAGGCGTCTTCTAGTTGCTCTAACCTGCCGGGATACTGGCTGGCATGTAGCCAGCTTAAGATCAGGGTTGTACAAAGGCCAGCCTGGCACCCCCATTGTGACCTGCACCACGCACATTTTGCCCACAGTTAAGGATCTAGCTCAGTCTTTATCCTGTAGTCTTGTCTAATTTCATGCCCCACAAAACTGCGAGTGGACAAGATGCAAAATTGCAGCAGTGTAATTGCACATGTGATGGCTTAAGGGGCTAAGTGGCCTTCTCAACGATGCACTCAGTATCTAGAGTAATTATGCAGATTCTGGTTTTTGCATGAGTGCAAGGAAATCACCTTCCCCTCAATACATATATGAATGATTAGTTTTCCTGATACAGATTTGGAGTTTAAAGGGATACGGTCACCACATAGTCTGGTCAGTTACTTTCAGGTTGTACACATGCCTCTGGTTTGCACTGCCATTCTCATGATTAAATAATTGACCAGACAAAAAATACCCTTTTTCCTATGCTGCCTTAGGGTAAAACCCACCCCGACTAAGGGCTAGCACGGGGCCCATACATCACTGAATTCCCATTTACGTCCTCATACTAGTGCTTCACGTGCCAAAGCCCTGCACAGCACTAGCATGGGAAAGCCTCTGTGACCGAGCTAAGCTGGAGTGTGGGGATTAAAGCAATTTCCAGCCTGTTCATGCCTCTAACCTGCATGCCCCACAGTGGCCTTTGGGGTAGGGGCTTAGCACCCTCTTTACCCGAGTCCTGACTCCCTCTTGCCATGGGTCCTGCCCTTATGGAGTGCAGGGCTGCTCTGTCCCCTAGCTGCCCTCCCCTGCTGAGCCATCTCTCTGGTTGCGTTTGCTGAAGCCCTGCAGTCAGGTTCCCTGGGCCCTTGTGCACAATGAGTCTTTAGGACTTAAACCCTTCCTGCCTGCACATTATCCAGTGGATGCAAGGTAGCTGGGTTACGTCAGTGGCCAGCAGCACCCGGGGGTTGTTAGCTGCCTTTGAAAACTGTGTCCCAGGAAGGGACAAGCTTCTTTCAGCCACAGGGGAGTGTGTGTGTGGGGAGGGGGAGAGAGAAAGACGGGGCCAAATCATCTCTTCCCCCTCTCCTCTTCCTCTGGGGCTGGAAGCAGCACCTGTCCCTTTCCTCCCGCACAGACCCAAAGGCTGCTGCTGGCCTCATTCTGGTGTGAACCCTTGCAGAAATATGAGGAGAAGAGGCATCTGACCCTATGTCATCCCCCCGTCTATTGCCTTGGGAAGATGTGGTGCCAGGTACTGAGAAAGGTGGGTATGTCCTGGGGGCCCAGGCAGGCGTGGCGTGTGGAAAGCACTGGGCAGGGAAGGTCATGTTGGATGGTCACCCCTTCTCCCCCGTGTGAGAGAGGTATAGGGGAGAGTGTGTGTCTGTCACCCCTCTATGTGTGAACCCTGAAGCCTTAAAGATAAGAAGGTAAAGAAAAAGAATCCAGCTATGCAGTATTTCTTTTTAGAAGGGGTTCACTCAGCTTGATGTTAATTAGAACATTTGTACTGCATAGTTCTCATGGATTGAACTTGCTTGAATAGGAGTAATTTTAGCAGACATCCCGTATTCAGAATATGGAAATACGGTCACCCTAGCGTCAATGGCTCTCAAATGAATGGGCTTTGTGCTGGCTCTCTGCACAGAGAGGAACTCCTCCTGAAAGTTGCTGTGTGCCTTTAACCCTAAGAGATTTGAGGGCAGTCAGCCCCTCACAAGATTAGTACCTGGATCGTATTATGTGTGTCTTTTTCTGTTATACATTGAGAGGGTCCTCCCTTTTCTCTCCACTCTGTTCCGCTGAGGGAGTGGGTTTTGCCCATGAAAGTTCATGGTACTATATATGGATATATTTGATAGTCTCTAAGGGTACATTTACACTATCCCCCTAGATCGAGCTAGGGAGGTTAATGAGGGCAACCGGAATTGCAGATCAAGCCCGGGATTTAAATATCCCGCACTTGATTTGCATCTTCCCGGCCGGTGCCATTTTTGAAATTTACAAGCCCAAAATAACTGCCTGCGTCTACACGTGGCAATGATATGGGCGTTCGAAATAAAGCCCTAGTTCGAACTACCTGTTGGAGGAATAACAGGTAGCTTGAACTAGGGTTTTATTTTGAATGCCCATTTCACTGGCGCATGTAGATGTGGGCAGTTACTTCAGGCTTGTAAATTTAAAAAAAAATGGCTCCTGGCTGGGAAGATGCAAATCAAGTGCGGGATATTCCGGTGGCCCTCATTAGCCTCCCTAGATCGATCTAGGGGGCTAGTGTAGACGTACCCTAAGGTGTTACAGGACTACTCATTTTTTTAAAGTTACAGACTAACATGGCTACCCCTCAGGGAATTGTTTGAGTTTCCTCACTTCAGAAGAGGCACAGTCAGCATAAAAACCACACGGACTTACTTGGAAAATTTAGTCCTGAAGTTTATTACACTTCAGTTGCATCAAATACAAGTTAAAGAGTTACAAATGCAGTGACCTACTTTCAGATCCTGCTTCAGCCTATATAGTCAGTAGGCTATGCTGCAGCTTTTAAACACTCTTTATTGATTTTATCTCACTCTTATTACTATTGGCAGATTGTTTTAACACAAAAAGAAAAGGCAGGAGTAGATTATAAACTGGGACTCTGCTTTCATATTGCATTGAAAGCAGTTTCTGGGCTCTTTTGCAGTCTGCAGTGTGCTGGAACTCTGTTCCCATTGCTGTGATAAAACATACTGTATTTAAATACCTCATTCTCCAGAGCTGGGTGAAGGTGTCTAGTAGAGTAATCAATTAATTACACTCTTGCCCCATAGCCAGCTCCCTAAACACCTTACACTGCTTTGGCTCTGTTGTCACATTCACAGAGTGGGACATCTATGCTAGCTGTAAGCTTTACTGTTATTGAGTGTCTGTTCCAAACATTTTTATATTTCTTCCTATGAATTTATATGAATATAAATTCTACTTGTACTTGAACCATTACCCTTGAAGAATGGAGACCAGATACTTGGGTATGAACTGCGATCGTAAATCAGAGTTGATTCCCCCTGTATTTCTATGCATAAAGCTGTTTTCCTCATTTGTTTTTATACTCTTCAATTTTTCTGCTCATTTTAGAGGTGGAATTCTTATCCCCACCTGCGTGATGAAACCAAAAGCAGGTATTCATCACTTTGTGTACCTGCCTGTTTTTAATTTTCTTTCTGTGCAATATTTGGTGCTTTCCGATTGAATAGCCATACAATGCTGCTTGTGTACTGTATATGCTTATCTGTTACGAAGTCTGCACCAGCAGGTTGAAGGTGCTCATTTTTTATAGAGTCCAGCAAAATGATCAGGCAAACCATTTTTATTGTTTATCTCTAACACACTACTGGTCGAACCTCTCTAGTCCGGCACTTTCTGGTCTGGCAGTATCCGTGGTCCGGCATGATTTTAGTTTGCTGGATGTCCACTTATCAGTGTGGCCAAGTTTCCCGCAGTCCCATAAAGTTTGTTTCTAGTCACCAGTCCTGGCTTTTAGTGTTCTGTGCTGTTATTTAGCTCTAATTTACCCCTAAATGTCTTGTAAGAGCCCAGTAAGTGGTTGAAGTGTTGGCAATGCAGCTAGACAATATTGACGTCATGTGGTTTGGCAAATTCTGTGGTTCGGCACCATTCAGGTCCTGAGGGTGCCGGACTAGAGAGGTTCAAGCTGTACTTGTCATTTCCCTTGAAATGATATGTCACCAATGTTTGTGATCTTCTATGGGCAAAAGGTCCCTCTGGAAAATCCATGCATCACCATCTTTATCAGCCCACCACACTTCACAATTCCCAGGGCCTTGTAAATGCTATTATGGTGGCTTTTTGCCTGGTTATATAGAGCAAATGTAAATATAGATGTTTGACTCCCTTATTGTTGTAATTATCCATTAAATATTTGGGATTAGATATTAGTTCAGACAACTAAGTAAGCAAGAGAGATTGAAACCTCTTGTCATTCACAATGGTCTGTTTGCAATTGTAACCTTTCAAACATATCATACATATTCTCTTTATGTCTCTCTCCCTAATGAGAAGCTGGTAAACATCTGAAATCTGGCCTAGGCTTTCAAAAACACCTAATACTTTCCCAAAGAATGTTATTTTATGTTGATCTGGCCTTAAAGTATGTGTGTGTTCTGCCTTTGCATCTGAGCCAAGGCCTAGGCATGAGGTAAAAATAAAATGTTCCTCAAATCGCCAACTCAGAAAGGTTAAATTTCCCCCTTGTGATTGTGGCTATAGGCACTGATTCTTATGACAGAGATTTGCAGCTGCCACGTCTGATAAAAATCTCAAAGTTTTGTCCCATCCTGATAATCATGGGAAGATGGTTTAAACATGTTCATTTCCTGCTTTCTGCTCCAGGTCCTCCAGCACATGGAAGATATCAAAGTGCGGGAAATGCAGATCTTTGACTACAAGAAGAAGATAGCAGAGGCTGAGACTAAATTAAAACAGCAACAGAATCTGTATGAAGCTGTGAGATCAGACAGGAACCTATATAGTAAAAATCTGATTGAAGCTCAGGTACAAGGACTTTTTTTACTCTGTGATTGTTGCTTGGTTTTTTTTTTTTTTTTTTAGAAAATAATTCTCACATACTTTGGACAGGTGGTGTTGTGTGTGTGTGTGTGTGTGTGTGTGTGTGTGTGTGTGTGTGTGTGTGTGTGTGTTGGGCTTTAATTTTTAAGTCATCTTCTAATCTGTATTATTTGAATTTTGGTTAAGAAGTAAAATGTGCAGTGCTCATGCAGAAATGTCAGACTGCTCCTTGCTTTGCATAAAATCCCTGGCACTTTGAAGAGATATATTGATATCACATAGAGACATTTTTCCCTTTCTTTCCTTTTTCCCCTCTTCTCTGCCCTCTGTTAGGTTTGGTATAAGCATATGGCAGACATGACATAATTGAAGATGACCCTCTCCTCTCCCCCCATCCTCTTTGCTGCTCTGACTCATGCATTAGAAAGCTGTAATGGAAGAGACACTTGTCAGGTGAAGTAGCATTTTCTCACATAACTAAATGTTTCCACCTGGCTTGTGAATTCCAGGCACTCTCATTCCCCTCAGATTACAATCCTCTACCTTTTCCCTGTGAATCCCTCCAGCAAGCCTGGAAGAAAGGTTAAGATCACTTGTATAAAACTATATTGCATTATTCAAGAGTAATGGCCTAAATTCTACAGTAAACTGCAGAGTCTGGGATGTGGATGAGGGTGGTTTAGAGTCTTGAGATCTGTGAGAGACCAAGGAAATATAAGATAAACATATAGCCCACACTGGACATTTATAATCTACCCTGAGTTAGCAGTGGCATGGAGCTGCCTTGCTCTAGGAGAATGAGCTGTGCCAGAGAGACACTATTGCTACTTGTTCCTCACTATGGCTACATTATGATCTGGAAGTGCCATTGCAGGACATATAGACATACCTCACCTAGCTTTGATCTCGCTAGCTAAGGGACTGGAGCAGTGATGCTCTGGCCCACCTAGCTGCCTGACAGTGAGCTTGTGCAGTCCACGGAAGCACATATGAACATGGCTTCAGTGCTGTCAGTACTCAAACGAGTTAGAGTAAAGCCAGCTTAGGTATGTCTGCATCACCTGCTATAAACTCCATAAAATCATAGAATCATAGAGCTGGTCAGAAGGTCATCAAGTCCTGCCCTAGGCAGGACCAATCCCAACTAAATCAACCCAACCAGGGCTTTGTCATGGTTTTAGG